CCTCGATGCTCACAAGCTCTGCTCCATGCAGGACCTGCCAAGGACCCGCCTCACGCCCACCCAGCCTGAAGGAGTGGGAAGGRAGCGTCTGAGTGAGCCCACACAGGGCTTATCTCAGCACAACACCAGGGGGATGACGCTGATAATGCCACAGCCATTCACCTTAGGAAACAGCATTTAATCAACCAGCACTCTGGGCTCTTTATGCTGAGCTGACAGCGGTTGTGGGATRCCTGGAACACAAGGGAGAGCTCCAGAAACATTGTGCACCTCACAGCACATGAACCATGGCTGCAGGAGCTGAACTGCTGGTGGCCACATCAATTCTGGCAGAACCCTTTGGCATAAGTGATCAAAGACTAACTTTCACCAAACTTGTACACACTAAATACCCAGCCTTTCTCCTCCGTACACAGGTGCACATGAGGAGGATGTGGATGCAGACATCATGCAGTCTGYTCCCCTCTTCTTCTAACACTTCTCCAGCAGAGATATCCTGTTTCAATGTCTGTGCTTGTGTGCGCTTTTCAATCTGAGCTTTTTGCTCTAGGACAACAAACTCCTCAGTGGCCAGCTGAGTTTCCTACTATCACCTCCACTCCATAGGTCAAACTTTGCAATCTGGAGTTGCTCTTTTACAACACAATTATTCCCCATCTACCCTACTACTGTTCTTAGATTTAGCAAAAGCTCCTTCTCCACCTGCCTGAGCATACTATATACATTTCCATATACCTCTTTAAGAGATGTTTTATTGGCAGACAGCTAAACCATGAAGAAAGCAGGTCGATATAATTAGAGTTCATTTAAGATGAATATGAAATATCTCCAAATCAAACAACTAATAACCACAGAACCTGTCCTTATGAACAAAAATGGTCATATATCACATAGATCCATTTGCTGATGGACAGCAGGATGTAAGAAATATTGATTAAAGGAACAGAAACCAACAAAAGAAGAACAGAAACAACCACAACCAAAAAAAAAAAGGCAGAAAGGAATCTCTACTGATTACAGGATTCCAAGACTGACTGATTGTAGCGCCACATGTGTAACACAAATTCCATCACCTGTGAAACCTGAGTGTCCTGCTTAAAAGCTGTTATGTTCCAAGGCTAATGCTGATTCCCTKGCCATTCTCCCTGGAAATATTTCTCAAAGATATCTTAACTTTCTGCAGRGTTTTGTATATGTTTTGTTTAGCTCCTCTAAGAAGTCAATAACTGTCATTCCATCCAATCCCTATTCCCACCCTACCAATTGTTTAGTATCTGGGAACACACACATTTTTTTACCTCCTSATGCAGGGCACCTCTCAACAGAGATCTTTTAACATTTTTCTTCTTCCAAAGCAAAACAAAACATAAGACTTTTCAGTTATGCAATAAAAACAGACATTACACACCAATTTACATTTCTTAAATAGGTGTTATATTCCCTGTATGGAAATACATGCAATATATTTATGATCTGAAACATAAAAMAAAATCTTCCCAGAAAGGTTGCCATGAATGTTTTGCTATGTTTAAATGCCTTTTCAGATGTTCTCTGTTGAAACTTTTTCTTTAACAGAAATCAAAAGTTACAATCTTCAAGAGAACAGAATCCAGAATTCACTGTAACTTTGGGAACTCCATTCACAACGCAGCTTAATAAGGATTTATGCAGCAGTGAGCCTGCTACASAGTGTAACATTTGATAGGGTAGTAATGAAAGCCCACATGCTCACAGATTTACAATGATGCGTTTTCTACTTGTTCCTTCACAGGATTTGTCTGGTTCAGTTTTGTCTGGAATACAAACAATAACTATAACCACATCATTCTTCTGTAAGTCCTTTGAGACACTGTAATCAAATGGAACACTCAAATCAGCATACTTGTCAAAGAGTGCAAAGAGCCAAGGAGTCAGAAACCAAAAGACAGAAATATTGTAACCAATTATCTAAACCAGTTATCACACCAAATATTGCATTAACAAGGTCTAGGTAAGAAAAATATCAGCGAAGTTGTGTCGGTTCAAAAAGCAGATGGCTGGAAAATATGCCCTTGCCAAGAATACTGTGATACATTGTGGTTTTTATCTGCTAACATCCAAGGGTTTTTGACAACTTTTCTATTAGTGCAGTACCCACTGTAAACAGCACCACCCTATAAAAACACCTCAGCCATAATACACTGGCTAAATGGAATAATAAATTACTGGCTCTGCACATGTCAAACAAAGACCTTAATATAGAGCAATTAAAATAAGCAATCACAGCACAACTCTTAACACTGATCTGTCTTAATCTATTTTTAACATCTGTCAAGCATCTGACCCTGTCAGATTGAGCAATTCGTGAAGCCTGGGAATCATCTATTGCTACCAGGTGACTAGATGTTTTTCTCAAGAATGGAGGAACTTTTTACCTATCAGAGTATCAGACCATGCAATAAATATTTAGAATATTTTAAATGTGTTTTTCAGGATACCTGGTATGACAAATTGTTTAGAGGAGGAAGCTTGCTTTCATACAACTTTTGCAATTTTGTCTTACTGAGACTTGGTGGAAATAGTACCGGAGTGTGGTTTTAGAAACATTAAGCAGAATTCTAAGTGCAACATGCTTTAAAAAAAAAAAAAAATCTATCAAGATAAGCAAAAATGGCTATTCTTTAGCAGAAGGAAATAAATCCCGTTTCCTGGTCAATAGCAGTATAAATCACTATGTTCATGTAATGCATTAATAATAAAGTAACTTGCACTTCTCCCCTTATTTGTCTTTAATGATACACATTCTATTTGCACGCAGGAGACAAAAGCAGACAAGTAATTTTCAAAGTCCAAACACCCCAACCCCTCACTTACCCTCGAGCTCTTTGTGGACGTTCTGGGCCTGGGCTGGGCCACCCTGCTGAAGACAAAGGAAGCTGAACTTGCGTGAGTTGTTGGGAGCTGCAAGTCAGTCCGACAGCTTCAGTGGTGTTTTGGAGCTGAGCTCAGGATAGGAGTCCGATCACTGAACAGTTTGACTTTTAAGAGGGCCGATTTCATTACATGCAGCAGATGGCCCTTCCTGGGAAAACCTCTGCCAGACAGGGAGTTGGCAGTGAGGAGAGGGCACATCCTACTTCCATAGAAGTCCATAGGAATTTCCTAATGGCCTTGACAGAGAGGAAGTGTTGGCCTTAGCTTTTCATAACAAAGCACTGGGTTGTTTTTATGAAACACGTTCCATACTGCTCTCCTAGACACCTTGGGAATTTCTTACTTGCTGGAGCTAGGCACACATAAGTTCTGCTGAGCATGAGAAAATCCACAGTGCCTAACAAGCAGGCTGAGAAAACCAAAGGTGGACAGTGGACTTTTCACAACCGCTACACAGAAAGTCACCTAATAATTCTCATCCCTCAAAGTCAAATAAGTGAATCCTGAAGTAAGAAAGTATTTCCACTCCTGGTACCCAAGGAGGCAAGTCTCACACAGGAGGAACGGGAATGAATTGCACAAATTGCCCTGAGCTCAAGGGACCTGGAAGAGGCTGAAAAGCAACTTTTGTGCCAAGTTTTTTTTTTTTTTTCAGCATTTTGCAGGACACGCAGTTTAAACTGGTTATGAGATACTACTGTGCTAAATACTTCTGGCTCCCMGTGTTATCTAGACCCAGATAGGAAGCTGGTGTGTTCAGCAATACAGTGCCTCCAACCACCTTCGTTCAGAAATAGCAACAAGGAGATCTATGTTTTGAGTAAAACCCCAAAAGTCAAAATAACCCCCCAGGAAATGAACAGCCACGTTCAAATCAGAATAGGTTGGGTCGAAGGGACCTTKAAGGGTCATGTAGCCCAATACCAAGATAGGCAGGGACACCTTCCACCAGACCAAGTCGTTCCAAGCCCTGCTCAACCTCACCTTGAACACTTCCAGGGTTYGGGCATCTACTACCTCTCTGAACAACCCGAATGCTTGACCACTGACTAAAAAATGTCAGTAAAATTCCTTTCTAAGGCACTTTCAGTCCACCTTGAACAAGCTGCAATACCGGAGAGGTGAGAATTTCCCTCAGGTCATCCGCTCACTTGCAGTGGTGGCCCCAAGCTATCTCTTCTCTCCCTCGCCAAAGGACGTAAGGTGTCTGGCCCTTAAGCTACACGGTTCAACAGTGGCAGCAGGCTAGAGGAAGTTGTGTCAAGGAGGAAAGTCCATGGCCGTGCTGGATGCAGCTGGATAAAGCTGTTTCTCCTCAAAGTGAGACCCCTCCCGTCAGTGTCGTGTGGGCTTTGTGGGGTTTAGGCCCCAGCTCCCGGCTCTAAAGCYACGTTCGGCCATCTCAGCGCCAGCTGCGGAGGCTGCAGGAGGTATCGCCCTCATAGYCAGGCGCACAACGCTCCCATTTCAACACGGGTACAGCCACAGCCGTTCCGTTCCCTCACGCCGCCCGCAGTAGCGGCCCAAAGTTTCCCGCCACGGCGGGGTCCCCTCAGCCGCACCCCTGCGGGCAGCCCCGAGCAGCCCCGTGCAGCCCCGTCCCGTCCCGTCCCGTCCCGCCGGCGCTTCCTTCCGGGCGGCCCCGCCCCGGCTGAGGAGAGCGGCGGGCGGTGATGGAGCGCGGCGATGGAGCGCTGCCCCTCAGCCGCCTGCCCGAACCCCTGCTCCGCCGCCTCAGCGAGCTGCTGGACCGCGCCGCGCCTGGCCAGGGCTGGCGGGAGCTGGCGCAGCGAGCGGGGAGCCGCGGCACGCTCCGCCTGAGGTGAGCGCGGGCCGCGGGCCGGCWGTGGGGTTTGTGTCTCTGCGATCCTGTAAAACACTCAAAGCCCCTGGAGAAGTGAGGGAGCGTCGCCCCCAGGTTTGCGTGGCACTGTGATTTATCGAAAGATCTCTTTAGTGGGAGTACCTTGCATTCCCTTTAGATAGCTGTCATTATTTCCTCGTTATCTGTGTCGATTAAATCCGCCGTGATTAAAAGTGCATGAAGACACCACCAAAGCTGAAGCTATAAAGTTCAGACGCAGTTAACTGCGCTGCACAGTCGGTGTGTTAGGCTGGGCTCCAGCAGTCACTTGTTTTAACAAGAACTTTAAAATCAGTCTTCCTGTACTTTGAAGTTAAAAGTCTGACTCACTCTACCSCTTCTGAATTAGGCACATGGAAATGAAAGGTACTGTACTACTTTTTCTGCTGAGACTTTAAAAGTGAAAATCAGAAGGTTTCTTAATACATTAGGTGAGAATTGTGAGGTATACACATTTCTTGTAGCATCCAACTTAGTAGTACCAGTTTCTGTCTGTGGAGGTGTCGCTGAATAACCTCTGGACCCCTGAAACTTGAAGGAAATGTTGCAAATACATCCAAATCAGTTAGGAATTTCCCATCTCTATTTTTAAAAACCCTTTTATCTCTACAAGTGATTGTTAACCCAGGTCTTTTCTGAGGAGAAGGTGCTAAGAAGGTCAATGCCATGTCTTTCTCGTTTTTATTCCATAGCCCTGTGGATTTGGAGCAGTGCTCCCTTCAGGTGCTGGAGCCAGAAGGCAGTCCCAGCTGGAGTCTGCTGAAGCTGCT